GATAAAAGAAGAAACAAAAGCCATAACAAAGGTTGGCCCAAGGAATGAATTCTAGTGGGAGAATTTAAACAAACAAACAAACCAACAAACAAAAAGCCAGTATGAATGAAGAAATTGGTGAACTCTGAAAAAAGAACAGAGTGTAGAAAGTAGAACTGTACTAATGCTAACTTTGCTGGGGGCTGTTGTTTTCCTATGATAATATCATGTATGACATTTAGGGATGCTGGGTGAATTCTATTATTCTGTACTTTTGTTTAATTTGAAACTACAAAACCTAAAAGTTGTGCAATGGTAGTTTTACTCACTGCAAACAAAAATAATGAAATTGTCAAAAATAATATATTGTTATGTTTTAAAACATAAACTATCTAAATTTATTTCACAATTTGAAAACCTACAGTGGTTTTCTTCATGAAATAGGTTCAATTAAAGTTAATAGCAGAGCTAGTGATAGGACCTATCAGCACCTCCCACAGTTCTCATGTAAAACCCATTTTAAGTGGGACTCAAAATATGTGAGTATGTAAATTTCAAAAATAAGATTATACTGAATGCACAGCTGATAAAAGGTCAATAAAAAGCAAAAGCTGTGTCAGTTTTTGGATCAGATCATACTGTCCCCACTCTAACTTTCCATAATCAGTCTTCCCAAAATTCTGAAGAATGAAGTTGTCCTGGGGGACAATAATGCTGTCTCCTTTCTCTTCACAAAACTTTGGTAACTTTCAGAACCTGGTTCTCAAGTGCTGTACATGCTGGTACACATTTGCGGTGAGGAGAGGGCTAAGACAAAAGGAAGGATGTTCTAGTGTGCTCTGAATTACACAGGCCTTGAAGGCAATGAGGCTTTCTGACTCAGATCTAGCCAGGAACACTCAACAAGTGTCTATGAGGTTCATGTTCCACGTGTCTACCAAACCTATGGGAATTAGTGACAGATGACATACTGATAAAGGTGGACTTTAATTGTGTATTCTGCACGACCATGAAGCTGAAAGGGGAAACACACTGGTTGAAAGATTTCGCCAAAGCCGCACACTCTGACATAGTCGACACCAATGCTAGCTCATTGTATTCTGCATTCCTACCTTCTTCTGTATCATGCAGGGACAACAGAGAAACCACTGTGAAAAGTCACTATAAAGGATTTCAAGTTATTGTGCAGTTTTGCATCCTAATACACATATTCAGATAATAAAAAATCTGAACCCCCCCTCCCCCATTTTTAAGTTTACACGGTAAGAATTTGATTAACTGGATTTCTGCAAAACTCCTTTACATGCAGGATAAGACTATACTTTGGGATACTCAAGAAGGTGGTCATGGATTTGGATGAGACAAACTCTAGTTATGTATCTATCCTTAGGCAACTTAACTACTGGAGGATTCATCTTGAAAAATCACTAACTGGAGCTTGTGATCACCAGAGGGTTTCCTGGTTTTTTTATTAAACGGTCTGGGGGAAGTCTAGCACTGTCATTACTGTTCCTCTCTCTCTCTGTAATAAAAACCCTGGTGTGGTAGCATTAAGAAGCACACAGTACTGCCACTACACTGAATCCCAGCCACCAGGCTTCCGTCTAGGCTTAGACTTTACAGTCAGTAGACTCCACCTCCCCCCAGAGTTGAGAAAGAAGTGGGTGTGCCAGAGAGACAGTGACAGTGGCAACTGTTTCCCTAACAGTGTTAAGCACAAAAATAGGCATTCATAAACACAGTGCTGGAATATGAAAGAGAACATATTTATTCTCAAGAATATGAAGCATTAAAGTATGTGAGGGCATATCAGTGTAAGGTTTTGAAGAAAGAAGAATATTATTGAATAGAAGAAATGATGATGAATTTATAAGTCTGCTTACCTGATCAGTAAATCATATACTCACAAAAACTCAGCAATGGGATTTTCCTGAAATGCCAATTATAGTACTAAAAAACTAGGCTGATGGAAAGAGCCTTTCTCATACTGTTCACTCACAGACTCTAAAGAATGTAGTGCAGTTCATCTAAACTTGAGCTTAACGAGGCATGAGAGTCAGAAGGAATGCCAAGAGAATGGCCAGCTATCAACACACCAGAGTTGCCATGCTAGAACGGACACTGAAGACTGACTGCCACAGAAGATGCAGGGCACACAGACATGAGTTTGGGAAGAACAAAGACTCTTAGCAGCAGTAAGTAAATGAACAGGGGTCGGTGACTGGGTGAAAGACTCCCACCCCTGAACTGCTAATTATTTTAGGAAGTCTTTTGTTAGAGTGAAGAACGAGGAGACTAGAAAACAAGGAATCCAAAAGAAGAGGGGAGAGAGAGGCTGAAAATTATAGACCTGTAAGTCTAGCATCTATATTAGGAAATAAATTTGAGATGATACTCGTGGATGAGCTTAATGATACATTTGGAGAAGTACAATTTAATAGGAGTGAGTCAGCATGGATTTACCAAAGGGAATCATGTCAGAAAAAATTCCTTCCTTTTTATGTTGAAGTAATAATTGGTTTTTGTAAAGGAGAACCAATGAAAAACTGTCAGGTTCTTCAGAGTTTTGGACTTTTTCATAAAATAAATTATTGCACAGGGTGTCATGACATGTGACAGCGTGTCCAACTGACAGCGGCTGTGAAAGGAAGCAGAGGGCCAAACCCTGGGCAAGGGCTGTGTTCCACAGGGCTCTGTGGATGCACACGCCGCCTGCAGAAGAGCATCCCTAGATGAGGACACACGAGTGTGGCGCTCACAAAGGCTGAAGGCTCACTTCACCTCAACGGTGGCAGAGTAAGCAGGCGGGCTGGGGAGGAGTGTCACATTTAAGTATAAACTGAGTAGAACTAAGTTTATCAGGCAAGGATAGGTTAAATAGTACTGAATTAGCTAGAGTTAGAAAGAAAGACAAAGGGGCATAGGGTTTTGATGACAGCCAAAACTCCCCATTCCTGTATTTATAACTGGGTAAGAGGTAAATGCTATGAAATATATTTAAAATACATCATAAAGAATATAAAAACTAAAAAAATTATAAGAACGAACTTAGAGAAGATATAAAATCTAGATTTGTAAAGACAGCATGGCAAATCCATAACACCCTATACAGACAATAATTTAAGGTACTATTTAAGTAATCACTTATGTCTTCGTATGTAGAACTAATGAAAAATTAATTTAAATATAATGAAAAATATGAAACCAGAAAACTAAAAACATTTCAGACAAATACCATATCATGGCTCACTGTTTCATCTCTCCTGAAGGGGCACACTGCTCCCATCCCTGCCTTCAAGAGACTCAGCTTCTTAGAGAGACGGGAAAATCAGGAAAAAGGGCACCTACATCCTCCTGGGGCTTCCTGGGAACCTCTCAGCAGCAGGAGGTGTCAGTACTGCAAAGGCAATTCTACCTTTTGCCACCGCCAGGGAAGTCTTTCTTCTCTGGGCCCACCCATGGAGCTGTAAGCTTCTTGTGCCCTGCAGTGAAGTTCTCTGTCCTCACCTCCCTTGCTCTGGGTGTGATATATGATATATGAATTATTTTAAATTGAGAAAACTGAAAGAATACACCAGCATCCAAATTGACATAGTTACATATTATCAGAGGCGTTAAACTATTATCCAAAGAGCACACATGGGCTGGTCCTAGGCACCCTGACATAGGTAGCAGATGCGCAGCTTAGTCTTCACATGGACCCCAGTATTTGGAACAGGGACCTCTCTGACTCTGATGCCTCCTTCTGGATCCCATTCCCCTAACTGGGCTGCCTTTTCCAGCCTCAGTGGGAGAGAATGTGACTGGTTTTGTAGTAACTTAATGTGCCAGGGTGGGTTGCTACCCATAGGAGACCTCCCTCTTTTCTGAGAGGAAGAGGGGAAAATGGGGGAAAGGGGTATTTAGGGAAGGGGACTGAGAGGAGGGTGGGGTGCTGCAATCAGGATGTAAGGTGAAGATACATATATATGAAAAACCCCATTATCCTAACTTAAATTACCCACCAAGTTCTATGCTCCGTAATGTGGACACTGTATGAGCAGAAACACATACCTGAAAACAGCCTTGTCTTTGTGGAAAACCTTCCCTTGATTTTCATACACACAGAGCCTGCCTTCGCCAGCCCTGCTTATGATTTTGTCCACAGCATCAAGAGCTAATAGCCACATTTCATGCATTAGACAGTGGCTCCACAGATGTGTGCTAGGAAATCGCAGGCATGGCAAAAGCAGCCTGTCCTGAGCACATGGCCAAAGTGAGAAGCAGAGGCCGTTGGCCATGAGCCTCACCAACCAGGATGCATGGCCGGGCCTGGTCTGCACATGGCATGTCAGGACCACATCAATGGACACCTTTCCAGAAGTGCTTTCTTAAACAGCACTCCAGGCTTGCACCTCATTCTGCAGGGATTCTATACCCAAAAATTAAATTAATTTTTAATTAAATGGGTGACAGGAACCAATTTGCTTCACCTAGAGTCACTGCTATATATGACACCTTCCATCATATCTGACTTACAGTCCAAGAGGTAGGAATGGTCTTGAACCATATCGCACCCAGGCCCATCTCCTCCTTATTTCTGGAAAACGAAGCCCCTGTAATCCTCAGGGTGCTTGAGTCTCAGTCACATTCTTCCAACTTCCATGTTTTTATAGAAAAATAATGATACAAAGAGTACAGCGTCAACATCTTAATCATAAACATACTGAATAAAATTAAGCCCTACCACTTAGTTAAAAACAAAGCTCAAGAAACTGACATCAGTAGCCATGTTTTAAGTATCTGCTACTAACTTTGGTGCTCTACAATAACTGCTAGATTTGTCATGAGATGAGAAGGCAGGTGGCAGGCCTGTGTCCATGTAGAATTGGGAAGGAGGCCTTCCATACAGGGTCAGGGACAGACTCTATCAACACTGGACTCCAAGGTTAGAATTCACAGCGGTCTGCAAGGAGCGACATGACTACTGTGGTGAGGCCCTGTTAGAAAGCACAAGCGCTTTACTTGTCTCCTTTCCTTACCAGCATGCAAGTACGCGAGGTCGGGGTTCTCAATGTCAGGATGCTGCTCCTTCAGGTGGTTTCGGAACTCCACAGGGACGTTCGTCCCATAGTCACATTTTGGGCAGTTGTACATCTTGACACCTTCATGTTTGCCGGTGTGCAAAATGTGTTTGCGGATATTCTCAGCACAGTTTGACCTATCAAGTAAGAAAGTAAATAGAATTAAGGCAAATAAGTATCATTATGCCACAAATGTTCAACTAGCTAGCCCTGGCACAACTGTTTCTATGTGCTGGGTGTGAACTTCACACAGTTAACGTTAATTAAGAAGGCAGCCACAGGACGAGGTCAGTCCTATAACCCAAATCCCAAGGTGGTATTCTGCTTCAGCAACTCAGTTCTGTGCAGAAAAAGAGGCAGAACAACAGTGTATTTTACTACTGTTTTGGTACTCCTGCAAGCAGTGAAGATGCTTGTGTGTGTATCAGGACACACCAGCACCGCCGCAGACTGCTGCCAAGTGCCAGCCACTGAGCTCAGCCACTGAGCAAACAAAGGCTTCTGTTCTGAGGTTCTGCCAGTGAAAGTTGCTTCCATTTATGGTACTGACAGCCCAAAGACAGAAAGGTAGCTGCAGTCACTTGATTTGCCCCATATTTGTGCAATGTGTTGGCACCAGGGAATTCCCTGTGATGGTGGAGTTCAGAGAGCAGACTCGACACTATAGCAAGGGTCCACTAGCCAATAAAAACACGATTGAGTAGAATGCAGAGGAAGACACGTACCAAAACTTCCAGAAGATACTGCTGAAGAACAAAAGCATCCACCATTCAGGAAGAAAGGCTTTGTGCACACACAAGGCGAGAAATGATAGTAGAGAAGATCACACAATAAAAGGCCAGGAATCACCTTGGTGTCGAGTGTTCAACTACATTACAATGCTTACTCTTCAGAGACAGTATTAGTCAAGAAGGTGAGGACAGGGACAGCCAACAGTGTTGTATTGGCCTATACTTTCATCCATATGTAAATGCAGCACACAAGGCCGGAAACTGACACCAAGTCCCTTCCAATGCACTCCCTTGAGAGGCTGGATAAGGACTCTAAAGACATGGAAGAGTGAATGAAAATGGTATGAAGAACGGATACAGTGTGTCTTCTATTGATAGATGGTAAACATGAAAAAGATAAGTTCTTCTGTGCCAAGGAAAGCTAAAATAGTAGAAAATAAAAACATCAAAATGTTAACACTGTAATGCCTGATTCTGTTTATTTTCCAAAACTACTTGAAGATTTGCATACTAAAAATAAATTACTAACATTACAATAGGTTGGGAGAGAATCGAAACTACAGAGTTTCCAGATGATTTCAGACTGACTGGGTAAGGGCTTAGCCAAGGGGCTAAGCTTCTTTTTCTTCTTCTTTTGTTTAATGCTAAAAAAAAAAAAAAAAATTCAAAATCTTTTGTTTTTTTTTTGATATCGTAATATAATTATATCATTTTCCCTTCCATGTCTTCCCTCCAAACTCTTTCATATACTTTTTCTTATTGTCTTTCAATTTCACGACTTCTTTTTGGTCAACTCTAAAAACACAGATGCAAGTAACATTTTACGGACTGAGAAGGTTAAATTTATGTATTTAGGAATATATACACATATATGTATACAGCAGGAACTGATGAAAAAAGAGGCCACAACTTTTTTCCCTTCCCCATTAAGTCCAGTTTGTGTTGCTTAACTGCTCTCAGGATGGGATCTGCTCGGCATGGGAACAGCCTGCTAGGGTCACATCATCAAGGAAGAGTGACTCTCCCTCTTCCTGTAGCTATCAAATGCCAAGAGCTCCTCGGCCAGTGGTGGCGTTTTCTGTGTAGCCACCTCCCCTACCCCCGCCATGCTGGGATTTTATCTGGCTGGAGCTTGCACAGGACTTATGCATTCTGCTGTCGTGATGGCTGTGAGTTCATTAGTACAACTGCACTTGAAATTATCCCCGACTTCTGTCTCTTCCAATCTTTTCAAATCCTCTTTTTTAATTATTTTTATTAATTAGTTTATTCACTTTGTATCCCCACTGTACCTCCCTCCTTCCACCCCTCCCAATACTACTCTCCCTCTTCCCCACCCCTGTCCCTCTCCCAGTCCACTGATAAGGGAAGTCCTCCTCCCCTTCCCTCTGATCTTAGTCTATCAGGTCTCATCAGGAGTGGCTGCATTGTCTTCTTCTGTGGCCTGGTAAGGCTGCTCCCCCCTTAGGGAGAGGTGATCAAAGCGCAGGCCAACCAGTTCATGTCAGAGACAGTCCCTGTCCCCATTACTATGGAGGCCACTTGGACACTGAACTGCCCTAGGCTACCTCCGTGCAGGGCGTTCTAGGTTATCTCCATGAGGGTCCTTGGCTGGAGTATCAGTCTCAGAAAAGAACCCTGTGCCCAGACTTTGTGGATCTATTCCTATCTTGTGGAGCTTCTGTCCTCTCCAGGTCTTTGTGGATCTGTTCCTGTCTTGTGGAGCTTCTGTCCTCTCCAGGTCTTACTCTCTCCAACTTCTTTAATAAGATTCCCTGCACTCTGCCCAAAGTTTGGCTATGAGTCTCAGCATCTGGTCTGGTACCCTGCAGGGTAGAGGCTGTCAGAGGCCCTCTGTGGTAGGCTCCTGTCCTGTTCCATGTTTTCTCCCTCCTCTGATGTCCATCCTCTTTGCCTTTCTGAATGGGGATTGAACATTTTAGCCAGAGTCCTCCTTCCTGATTAGCTTCCTTTGGTGTACAGATTTTAGTATGTTTATCCTATATTATATGTCTAATATCCACTTATGAGTGAGTATATACCCCGGGTGTCTTTCTGCTTCTGGGATACCTCACTCAGGATGATCTTTTCCAGTTCCCACCATTTACCTACAAATTTCATGATTTTTTGTTTTTTATCGCTGAGTAATATTCCATTGTGTAGATGTACCACAATTTCTGTATCCATTTCTCAACTGAGAGGCATCTGGGCTGCTTCTAGCATCTGGCTATTACAAATAAAGTTGCTACAAACATAACCAAGCAGATGTCCTTGTTGTGTACTTGTGCATCTTTTGGATATATGCCTAGGAGTGGTATAGCTGGAGGAGTGGACTGGAGTGAGGGTAATCCCAGGGGTACGAGGGACTCCTGCACAACTAAATCTTTTATTCGGGGGTTTGGAGTGTTATTCATGATTAAAAGACGGAGGATCCTAAGTTTATAGCTAATGTCAAGAAAGAAATTAAGTGGAACAATGTACTTTTGAATATTATTTCAGCAATGAAAAAGGAAGGACTTAGGTCTATGCACAGTCATGGGTTAAAATATTTTCTGACAAAACCAAAGAGATCTCACAATGAATTCCAGATAGATGGCATCATAACTTCAAACACGGCAAAAGCACTTAAGAGTAATCTAAATGAATATAGGCACTGAATATCTAAAGAATGAACCTAACTGTTTGACAACACAGCGTGGAGTTGACCTAAATTACCCTAAAGAAAGCATTCGAATAAGAGAAGGGTTTGAAGTGGAAACAGTCCATTCAAATACATGAACTATGTGAAGCATAGGGGAAGCATACATCCACGTACTGTGTGTATGTATGCATGCAAATGCACATATGCACATATATTCATTAACTTGCAAATATATGTAAAACTACTATTTCAAAATGATATATTACTTTTGAATAATGCTTGCCAAAATTATGTTTCTAAAATAAACTCTCTCTGTCTGTCTCTCTCTCTTTCTCTCTCTCTGCAAAGGACCTGCTTTATTCTCTCTGGGCCCCTGAGAGCATGTTATCCCCCTCTCTCCTTCAGTTTGAGAGTCAGCACAGTGAACCCCAAGTGATGTTAGAACCAGGCATTCCGGATGTGGCCACACATGTGCAGGAACGTTAGCTGCTGCCGCCGCATTTTCACTGCTCCACAGATGACATGGACGACACACAACAGCCAGGCACTCTACCTTTTCCGAGCGGCAAAACACAGCAGCACTACATCCAGTATGCTTCTTTGAAAAACATTGCTTGAGGAAAAATCCTTTGCCCTGTGCTCAGACATAAAGTGAACACTGTGAATAATAAAGGCTGGGATCATAAAGTCAAATGTAGATTTCAGCACACAAATACGGCCAAATATTGTAAACCAAAGCCCACAAACATAACAAAATGTGTTAGAAGTAATACATAAGGTTTTCATGAAGGCCTATAAAGCCCTCCTAGAAAGTTCTGTTCTCAAGAAGGCAGTAGATGCTAAGAAATGCTATGAGCACAAAGTATGGAGGTTAAGGAGGTTGCTTATTCAGAAGGTTAGGACAACAGTCCACACTGCATTGTACTCACAGAAACTCACAATGCAAACTGAAAAAAAGATTTTGAAGGTTTTACCTTTAAAATGTTTATGTAAAATGTCTCTTTTTAGTTAAGTGCATGTGCGCGGGCAGATGTGTTAGTGTAGGTGCCGCCACAGCTCAGAAGAGGGTGTAGGGTCCTCTGCGGCTGGAGGTTCAGGAGGCCATCAGCCACGTGATGATGTGGACATGCTCCCTGAGAGGCAGTATATGCTCTTAACCACTGAGTCATCCCTCCAGCCCCAAAGTAGGGTTACTTTTATTGAGCAATTTGCTTCCAAACTTTCTGATCACAGAATATTACTTGATGAGAACACTATCTCATAAGGCTGTCTTAAGGATTAAGATAAACAACTAAACATGACGGGATAATAGGAAAAACACTCATTTTTTTTTTCTTTACTGTTAACATAGCTACTCGTCCTGTAAGATGAAATGCATCACAAAAACCTAGATAATTATCACCAGTTGTTTTACCATAAAAGTGATTAAAATTGGTTTGAATAAAAATAGATTCGCTCCAACAGCCACTGACTACATTTGATGTATTGTACTTGCAAAATTTATTACGCAATCACATATATCTTTTTTGACTGTTCAAAATTTCCTAAATTCATTTATGAAAATAATTAGTCTGTCATTAAGTCCTAAAGTAATCATATCAAACTAAACAGAAAACCGTATTTACTAAAATGTAGAAAGCAGGCTTTGCAGTGTCTTAGTATTAACAATCCAAATGAATATAGAGTTACTCAAAGAAAGTCCTTATACAGCAGAAAAGGCCATCCTGTTTTCATGCCACGGTGACCTAATTATAAATTCCCTGGG